CAAGCTGGAGCCAACTAGTGCCAAATGAATGGGAACTAGTACTGCTCATTATCTGGAAGTTAAACTTCTGTTAATGCAGCCCAAAACAACATTTACTTTTTTTTTGCAGTCACATCCCACTGTTGGCTCATATTCAGCTTCTAATCTACAATTCCAAGGTACTTCTCCTTTGTAGTATTGTTGAGCAAAAGGAGCCCATTGCTGGGTCTCTCCTCTTCACCCCATTGAGAAGAGCTATACACAGTTTAACATGCAATGGAGGACTTTCTCTGCTGTGCAATCCTGCTTAGAGAAGACCCTCAACTTGGAGGCAAAATGGGTAAGACCTGGGTCATTTTGGTGCCAAGACAAAGGCTGGGCTTTGAGATGCATTCAGGTGTACCCGCAAGCTACAAATCTGCTCCTTCAAGAGGAATGTAACCACACCTAGAACTGGTTGAATTCCCCCATCCAGTCAAACTCCCCACTGACAGCATCTTAGTCTTATCTGAACTGAACTTCAGTTGGCTTGCCATCATTCATTCCACTGTCACAGCCAGACACTACTTTAGCACATCCACAGTCTCACCTGCTAAAGATAAAAATGAAAAGCAGAGTTGCATGCCATTGATGTATCACTAGCAATGTACTCCAAAACTCTGGAAGGCCCCACTCAGAGGTTTCATGTAGATGTTGAATGGCATAGGGAATAAGACTGACAGAAGACTGAATGGAAACAGTCCAATATTGTTTCTTTGCCACTCTCACTACCTCCAGATAAATTTATTTTATTTATTTATTTAGAAAATTTCTATGCCGCCCCATTCGCCAAAGCCTCCGGGCGACTCACAAATAAATCAATTAAAATACTATAAATTAACAATATAAAACAAGTTAACAAGATAAAACTCAGCTACAGGCACATAACAAGGTTTGATTGGACTCACACTATCCCTTATTTTATCACTCTGAGCTCTTGGGTACCCCACAGAACTGTATGAACTCTACCAGAGAAAGGCCGCTCTCAGGCAATTGTGTCAACTGCTTGGGTCATCTCTGTATTCCATAGACTTGACAGGGATTTGTCAAAACCACCAGCCATATCAGCCAGAAAATCCCCCAGAACCCTCTGAAAGCCATCCAGATGAGTCCTGCACCCTGTAGAGAGGGAAAGCTGTCTTTAGTCTAAATCTCAGCAAGCAGTGATGTGACCACAACAAAAGACTGATTCTCCCACCTTCAGATTGCTATCCCAATGCCTGGCTGAAGGAACCAAATCTAGGATAGGCCCTGTTACATGTGCTGGACCAATGCCTTGTCGGTATAGTCCCATGGTTGTCATGGAGACCATGAAACCCTGCGGTGCCCAAATAAGGTGCCCCTGCCATGGAAGTTAAGATCCCTCAAGACCAGCAGCCTGGGAAAATTTAACACCACAGCCAAGATTACCTCTGTCAGCTCAGGCAGGGAGAGTGTTGGGTCATGGGTTGGATGGTACACCAACAGAATCCCCAATCAGTCTTGCAAACACTGTAGACTAAGACTAGGAATCAGGTGGACAGGAAGCCTGAAGAGAGAAAAAGAATTCCTACAGACCATGGCAATGCCTTGTTCACTGGCCTCCAAGTCTTCCTTGATTCTGGAAGGGAGAGCTGGGAAAAGCTAACTCCCTCTTGTTCACTCTGCCAGATCATGATTATACACACCGAATTGGTTGCCTAATGCGTTACTAAGTCATGGATGAGGGAGGTCTTATCGTGCAGCCATCTGGCATTTAAACACATCATTCAGAGGCCCAAGAGCAGACCGATAGGACAACCATCAATCTATGGTTACGAGGGTCCACACAGTGGTTACCTTGGGCTGTGTTCCTTCTACCTGGCGAGTCCTCCACCCAATGTCAGATCTCCCTCTACCCCTCAATATTTGAATTGCTCCCATCAGGATCCCACACTTGGCCCTATCCCCTCCCTCTGCTGCACACATGTATGTGACCTTTGAAGAGGCATAAGGTCAACAAAGTTAGGGGGAGACCCTAACTTTGCATCCTCCACAAAGCAACTCCTCTCAAAAGGGCACCCTGCTTTGGTTTCATCCACTTTGGGGTTGTCACTGCTCTGGGCCAGCAGACACAGTCCTGGGTAGAGACCTGTTCTCCCCTGCAGGGGAGGGCAGGACGTGATCCAGTGAAGCAAAGTTCAGGGAACCAAGGTTCCATTTAGATGCCAGGAAGTACTTCCTGACAATTAGGACCCCAAGGGTATGGAATGGGCTTCCATGGGAGCTGGTTGAGGCCCCATCGGTGAGGGTGTTCAAAGTTAGGCTGGACATGGTGGGTATGTCGTGAGCGGAGCCGGCTGGAGCCAGGGGTCAGACTAGATGGCCCGGGAGACCCCTTCTGACTCACTCTGTTTCTGTGTTTAAAATGTTTTTGTTATTTTACCCCATCTGGAGATCACCTGAGAGTTAGAATTATTTTAATAAATTAAATTGATGTTCATGATTACCAAGGAAAAGGTAAAATATCTCCTCCATAAAGCAGCAAGATCAGAGATGTCTGCAAAACATCATTAGCTGATCAACATTAAAATGCAAGAAATAAAGCTACACGTTTGGACATAATAAACAGTACAAGTCAGAAGCTTCAATGCTATATGTGCATTAACATGTTGTATCTTCAAGTTAACTGTTATCACATCATGGCACAAACCAAAAGCGTCTATTCCATCTTTGACCAGTGAAGAAAATCCTTCACCAGCATTATCCACAAACACCGTAAGATACTTCCTCCTGACTTGCAAGAAACGCAGTAGTTTCAAAAGACACTGAATGAAATTCATTGTTAATGAGCCATTTGAAGCAGTAGTTTCTCTACCCAAGTCATTACATTGGTTCTGTATTATAGCTCAAATCAGAATTTCTCCCTATTTCTTGGATCCAGGAGCTTTGAACTTTGCAATCCAAAGCATGACCTAGAAGTCAATTCCCACAGAACTCAGGCTTATTTCTAAGTAAATAAGTTTAAGGCTTTATTACAGTACTGTAAAAACGAACCTAAAATGGTAAGTTCATAAAGAAGTTTTTCTTTTGCACAAATTAAGAATGTCTGTGAAGCTGAAATGATCTGACAAAAGAGATACATGTCAACTCTACTGCAGTTGATTGTGACTTCATTATACTTAAGTATTCTTTTTGGAGGAAGTGTGCTGTGTGTAACTATCCCATTCTTGAGCTCTTAAAGCAGCTGTTTGGCCATAGATGGAAAAAGAACTAGGTGAACCTTTAGTTAGCAGAGAGGCTAAGAAAATGGGCTATAAACTATCTAGTTGAGAATTCACAGCCACAACTCACTCTATCCAGCAATAAGGAAGCCTCAAAAGCCCAAATTCCAAACCTGATTTTCTATTTATGCTGACAGCTTCCAATCATCTTTCAATACCAAACTCAGCATACTAAGTAGTTGCAAAAATCAACAAAGTGACAACACAAAAAAAGTCACTATATAGATAATTCATTCAACCAGTGAAGGTAATTCTTGTTTTTTATCAACAAACGAGTGTGACTGCAATCTAAGTACCCATGCTTACAAGCAGTACTGCAATTTGTGGAATTACTTCTCAAGTAAATACAGTTAAGTTGTGATTGTATACATGGCTACACAGAACTAAGTCCCACTCCCACTGTGGGACTTACTCCTAATATGGGAAAGACTGGAACGCTTTTTCCCAGCACTCTATCACAGTAGGCATGCTCAACTGACCAAACCTGCAAGGAGCATGTATGTCTCGAAATAAAGTAAAACTGGTGAATGTACCCGGCCATTGGGAAGAAGCCTCTGCATCTCTGCACTGGACTGAGGTGTGAAAAAGTCTCTCTTTCTACTCCCTCATGTACATTTGTGCCCAAGATGTCCTTATTAAATACCAAAACAAGCTGTTGATGGCAATACATATCACACCATACAGACACCTATCTCAATCCAATTCAGCCTTTGAAGTGGTGAAAGACAATTTCCACATCTGGAATTTGGTGATACCTTAAACCCCAAATAATTTATTGTGGTGTGAACTTCTGTGCAAGACCCTAGGGCCTATTACTTCATCGGAGGCTGTGACAATGATAAAGTAATATACAAACAGACTTCTAGATCCAGTTGAAAGAATCCTACTTGTTAAGATGAAAAAAATGTATCAACACAACACATGCTATTTATCTCACATACCTGACCTAGTAAATTTTTCTGCACTTAAGTCACACAATGGTCTGCAAGCTTTCTAGGAACCAAAAGCATATTGTTTTGTGGTTAACATGGCAACCCTTCCAGAACTTCTGAGAAAGTTGAAAGAACACTCCATCCTTGAGCTACATCTGCTACTTAAAACAAGGGAAGTAACAATATAAAATTGAGATGACAGCCAGGCTGCCTGTCAACCAACTTGTTCAATTCAGCAGGCTAGCAGAGAAGGGCAGGCTCTCCCTGCAATGTTGCTGAAGTCCAAGACACCAGGGCAGGCCAACATCACTGAAATCAACCAGCGCAACAGGTTGCTGCAGCAGCTGCGGGGGAGGGGCAGACGCCGGCATCGGTTTAGCCGTTGTGTAAACCTGCGAGCACACGAATGCTGCCTCTCCTACTGACTGCTGAGACACATAAGTAGGTCAGGCCAGTTACCTGTCAACTTTTCAACCTTCCCTTGGATTGGATCCCTGTTAGCCTGGCTTAAGCCCCATTCATTCCCGGGGGCCTACTCAGTGGAAGCATAACACGGACAACAGCCTTGCCCCGCGCCTTTAGCAGCAGCTCCAAACTCCGGGGCCGGCCGTGCAGCTGCACGCTGCAGAAATGCACAACAGCGGAGCGGGCCGGGCCGGGCCGAGCGGGCCTGCTCGTAAGCGGATCCACGGGAAGCCATCGCCGGCGCGGCCACCCCAGGCGCCCCAGGGGAGGCGGCGGCGGCGAGGACGGGCAGCCTCTGGAGCCCCCTCAACACCCGCGCCCGCGAGGCCGGGAGGCGGCTCACCAGGAATAGGTCTGCTCCGCCATGGCGCCGGCGCCGGCCACTCCTCCTGCCCGCCGTCGTCGTCGTCGTGGCTCCCTGCGCTCTTCGGGACTCAGCAGCGGCCCCGCGGAGGCTCCCGGCCCAACATGGCGGCGGCGGCGGCGAGGAAGGGGGCGCCCTCCCGGTTGGAAAAGGCTGCTGAGGCGGAGGCGGCGGCGACGCCTCAGCGGCAGCGGCGCCGCAGCAGCAGGGCCGCGCTCCAGCGCCGGCGGGCGGGCCTCATCCCCGACGGGGTGGCGGCGGGCCGAGCGCTGAGGGGAGCCGGGGCGGGCGGCGAACTCCGAAGGCGAGGCCGCTCGCTCTCGCGCGGGCGGGGAGGGAGCGCGGGAGGGAGCGCGGGGAGGGGAAGGACGCGCGGGGCGGGGCTTAGGCCCTCCGTCGCTCGCGCACAGCTGCGCGAGCCAGCGCCTAGGTCACGTGCCCACAACAGCCTCACGTGCTGCGGCGCAGCCGCGTTCCGCACAAGCCTTTGTGCGGAGTTTCTGTCGGAGTTTTAGGGGGCCCCCCGGAGCGTGCGGAACAGGGAGGTGTGAGTCGCACCGCTATGGCGCGTGCGTCGCCGCAGCGGCCCCCGGATCCTTGAGGAGTGCTGCGCACGCGGAGACCCCTGATCGTTGCCAGGATCATCTGTTTGCGAAAGAATGAGCATTTTTGTATTGGAATGTGGCCGTGGACGCGCACTGTATTGTTGTGCCACTTTGAGTGAGGCGCCTTCCTAGAGCCTCGCTGAGTGCCCTGCCCTCCAGATGTGCTGCACTGCAAGCCCCACCATCCCCAGCCAAGCATGGGCTGGAGTCAAGTTGAACGGATGGGAGAGACAGGCCACTATATCTGAAAGGTGCCGGTGCAAAATCAGCCCCCGGGCAATTGCAACCTATCTCGGGATAGGTCGTGCATGTGGTCCTGCCACACCGTTGTCTTCACGACAACCCTGCGAGGTAGGCTACTCTGGGAAGGGGTCGTGGCCCGTCCCATAGCACGTCCACGAGCCACTAATCTGGATCGGACAACTCGTGGGGAAGAAACCTGTCTCCGGCGCGCTGTGAAGCCGTTGCTGGGAGTGGGGCGCCGGGGCTGCAGACATCTGGTGGGCTTCTGCGGGGGCCAGATGCTGGATGGATCCAGCAGGGCTTTCGTGTTCTCAGTCCCTATGCCCTTGCATTAAGTTCTGCTTCAGTTCGGACTCTGCCCTGTTCCTTTGCTCCTCCCAGAGGGGCCCATTCCAGTCCTCCAAAAGCATTGCTTAACTCATTGCATCAGGGCTGCCTGTGTGCAGCCTCCTCAGGCTGCAGGACGGCACATTTCTAACAGAATGTGACTCTCCCAAAAAACAAACAAAGTCCACCCATAACTGTGACTAAGATCCAATTATCTAGCAAATCACAAAATGATATTGGGAAAGGGAGAGCTATTTCTCAAGGTATTGGACCTTGCTTGTTTTTTTTATTTTCTACATTGCCCAATAGCCAAAGCTCTGGAAGGCAAACAACAGAAATAAATACAATAAAAGACAATGTATTTGTTTAATGAGAGCCTGTGTAGTGTAATAGCTAAGAGTACAAGACTGGGACTTAGGAGATTCATGTTCTAGTCCCCATCTAGCCAGAGACCTCCCTGGGTGACCTTGGGCCAGTCCTCAACTTTCAGCCCAGGGCTATTGTTGCGAGGATAACATTGAGGGGTGAGGGGAGGTGGGGAGGATTATGCAAGCAGCCTTGAGTTCCTCAGAAAGAAAAGGGCAAGATGTAAATATAATCTTAAACACACACGTATAAAATTAAAAATAGAGCTTCATAAAGTTACGTAAAGAATGAAACCACAAATTTAAGCCATGTTTTTTGCAATGAAAAGCAACTGCAACTAGTCCATTCTGCTAGGGCTGCAGAAAATCAGCAGGCGGTTCTCTGGCCCTGCGCCATGGCAAGAGGGGTGGTCTTCATGCGGCGCCGGCAGGAAGAAAAGTGGTTGCCTGGTGGCCGCAGTCGGGTGGGCATCCCACAATTCGGGGGCTGCCACAGAGAAGGCCTGCCTTCTCATTGCCACCAGGTGTGGCCCTTGGAGGCGGCCCCTGCTGCTGAGCATCGTGTCCAGGTTCCCTGTGGCTGGAAGAGGCGTTTCCTCCATTCATGCAGCCCCACGCCATGAAGGGCTCTATAGTTCAAAACCGGCACCTTGAAGCAGGCTCCGCAGCTCACAGGCAGCCCATGCAAGCAGGCCAGAGTTGGTGCCCGTGCGGACTGTCTCGCCCCCGCTATTTGTCTGGCTGCCACATTTGCCCCAGCTGCAGTTTCTGAACGGCCTTCGAGGGCAGCCCCATGTAGAGTGCATTGCAGCAATCTAGCATGGAGACTACCAGAGCCTAGACCGGGGTCCTCAAACTTTTTCAACAGGGGGCCAGTTGAAAGGTGCTGGCAGTGGGCGTGGGCTGGTGCGGCAGTGAGCAAGTCCAAAATTATCTTCACGCAAGCCGCCGCCCTGAGGCAAGCCGGATAAATGGGCATGGCGGGCCAGCTCTGGCCCGCAGGCCATCGTTTGAGGACCCATGGCCTAGACCACCGGTAGCAGGCTGCCTCTGACCAGGCAAGTGCGTAGCTGGCCACCAGCTGAAACTGGCAGAAGCTACTCCGAGGGCCTCAAGGACAGACTAAAATCGTTCCGCTTGCCACCCATTCAAGGACCGCACCCAGGAAGGGGGTATTTGCCATCCACCTTAAAGTATTTGTCTCTTCCAAGCCCAGGAGGGCTTCTGCACTGCCCCCACTAAGCAGCGTGGGGCTGCTCCCGCCTCAGGAAGCCCTGACCGCCCTGGCCCAGCCGGCTGCTCTCTCCCTGCACACCCTCGTGAGCTGGGGGCCCAGGGTCCCGAACAGACTCAGTTGCCTGAACCCGTCCAAACACCTTGCCGAACCAAGTGAAAACTACCCTGTTTGCCGGGTAACTCACTGGATGCAGTTGCTTGCTTAACACTGGACTCTCATACGCATCAAGAGACTTTCCCCAGGAAGGGCTCGGCAGGCACATTTCCGCGGGTCTCCAACGGGCCACGCTCCCCCTGGTGCCAGGTGCAGCAGGCCTGGGGTCAGCCTAGAGGGCTCCACTGAGCGCCAAACACTAGACGGGGGAGCAGCAACGAGGAGGAGTTCTCACTGTCCTCTGGACACCCAATTGCGGGCACTTGCCAGGGTCTGACTGCCACTGGGATCTCAGCCTCCGCCCTCACGCCACCCCCTGTGCAGTTGCGTTGCTCACAGCTGCCGTGGAGCCAGACCAGCACGACTGCAGAGAGGCTCCCCAGGAGCGATTGTGCCAACTGCCGGGTCATCTCTGCGTCCCCGCGATGGACGAGGGCTGCGACAGCGCCACGGCTGGGAAACCTGCCGGTGGAAACCATGTGCCTGCGGAGGCAGACCGTCTTAACCAATCCCCCACCCTTGCAGAGGCAAGAGTGGCATTGAGTCTAACTCTCAGAGGCGGGGACCCAGCAGTGAGAGAGGGACTGATTCAGAGCCCCCCGCCTTCAGGCCGCTCCCTGAAGGGTCCCTCCTCCCTCCCTCTCCAGCAGACACAGATGAGGCCTTCTGCAGAGCTGAACAGGTCACAGAAGGGTTTGCATCAGAGCAGCACTCTGTTCAAGTTGTGGGAGAAGCGTCTGCCCACCTGAAGAGCTGGATTCAAACTGCAGCCTCCCCCCTCCCCTCCCCTCCCCTCCCCTCCCCTTCAGAAAGGCCCTGGCTCCATGCCAGACCCGGGCGGCTTCTGCTGCTTGACAACCAGGTGATTGGACTGCCGGCCACTTCTGGATTGGTCCACCTGTCGCCTCCTGAGCGGGTCAAGGAACTGCCCTTCATCGCCCCTGCAGCCCTGAAGTGCCCCCTCTCGCCAGTCTTACAATGCCCCCTCCCCAGTCCCTGTTTTCCTCAGGGTCTCTCTGAGAACCATAACAGATTTATGCCAGAAAATCTGGGAAACCAACGCATGGCCATAGAATTGGAAGCACTCAGTTCCAAAAAAGGGCAACTCAAGGGACTGTTCTGGCTACCACACAATTGCCCCCATAGCTTATGCCAGCAAAAATTCTCCTTAAAATTACACAGTGACAGAAAGGGAACTGCCTGAAGTCCAAGCAGACTTCCGAAGAGGCCAGGGCATTTGCGACCACATTGCAAACTTGTGCTGGATTATGGAGAAATCCCAGGAATATCAAAAGAAAATTCACCTGTGCTTTATTGGCTGCAAGAAAGCCTTTAACTGTGTTATTTTGGGAAAATTTGGATAAATCCTGTCTGAAAAGCATTACTCCTGTGTGCCTTTGCATTGTGGGATCAAATCCTGTCTTCCTTCTCAAAACCAAGCTGTCACTGTTTAAAATGGCCTTACTCCCCCACTCCTCTCTCTCACCTTTAGCTGTAGGCTACAGTAGGCCATTTTAGCCCAAATCTACATTGTAAATAGTCATTGTTGGAATTCAGTTTACAATAATCTTTTGATAGCCCAGAGGGCTTCATGTGTCCTGATCATGCAGAATGTTTAGAATCGAGATAGGGGTCTGAGCTTATCATGAATAGTTTCTAGTAGCTTGAATTTGCATGTCTGAGCAGACCTGGAGATGGGTTCAAGTGTCAATACAGACAATTAGAAATATTTTAATCTCATTGTTACAGTGTGATTGACTGACAGTCCTTTATCTGTTCTGTATGTGATGACCTCAGAACCTTATTGTATTCTCTGCATTCTGTCATCAATTGCCCTGTACCTGTGTACCTATAAATGCCCTGCAATGGTATTGAAGCTTTGCAGCAGAGTTCAGCATGCATTATCGTGAGAGTCTACCGCGGGAACCTTGGGGGTAAAACAATAAAGCCTCAGATGGTCTGGGCGCTTGGTCTTTCCCACGAACCCGAGTTTTATTCCCTCTTCTCAAATTGAGATTCCGGGATTCTGACAGTTAACACAACAAGTTGTGGAAAGCACAGAAAGAGCTGGGGGTGCCAACACATCTGGTCAGGTTGCTGCAGTCACTACGTACAAACCAGCGAGCAGCTGTACGAACACCATGTGGGGACACGAATTGGTTAAAGGCTGAGAAGGGAACCCACAAGGAGGTGGTCCCTCCCCTTTTCTCTTCAGCTGGTATGTTGAAG